CCTATGGCTGCGTATGTGTGATCGATCTATAAATAGATACCATTAGTAGATAATGTACGTAAGTGCTGTAGGAAGCGATTTATACATTTATATATCAAGAGTAGACAATAATAGATAAATCCCTAAATAATCTCCCATGATCTACTCTTGATATATAAATGTATATATCGCTTCCTATAGCACTTACGTACATTATCTACTAATGGTATCTATTTATAGATCGATCACACATACGCAGCCATAGGGTTAAAGCTGTCGTTAAATTATTTAAAATATCAATAACGTAGAAGTGTTTATTGACGAGTTAAATTAATATTTGTGAAATAATATTACAGCGTTACAATATTTCGTTGAAACCTATACATTACTGGTTGTGACCAATATACAATAGATGGAACAAATAGTTGTTAACACACACACGCACGCTTACGCACGCACACATGCACGCTCGCACGTATGATCGCTCGCTCGTTCGCATGCACGCACGCACGTATGCACGCACGCACGCACGCACACCGCACGTACGCACACACATACACACGCAGGAACGCACACACGCACGCACGCACGCATACATTACTAATGCTCATGGTTTTCTCTGAGTAGCGATAACAGCGCCGATGCAAAGTCAATAATGTCATCCTTCGATAAATGATCCATCTTTTCCAAAGCCGCTATAACCTAACGAGGTAAAACAATAAACAACATCATATGTGACTGCAGAGCTTACAGAAAGGGCTTCTTAGAACAATGTGAGGCAACGGGAGCACTGAAGACGAAGTGTCCTAGCGTGCAGTATTTCATAATGTAACCTTTGACCTATACAATTACTATTCTACGAATACAATTACTATACAGACACAGTAACAATACAAATTACAATACAAGTACAAGTACAAGTACAATTACAAAACAATTACTGTACAGTTACTATTCTACCTATACAATACTATTGGCATATACAATTACTATTCTAATACAGTTCTGGCAAGTTTGAGGAGAGTGCTAAATGCTCTACTGGTGTATAATCATTAATCAAACATGCTGCTATGCTGCCACATATAATCCAATTCGACATGTTTCTCTCATGCTATTTCCCACTTCTCTGACTTTTCCCTTACGTCTGATTAGCTGTAACCACTAAGCCTATTTGTTTCATCAGGAGTGAAAAAAACAAAATGTTTTTTATCACTGTTGATTTCAGTGAAATCAAATGCCTATTTTGTAATCCATTTTAATTGACAATTTATTAACAGCCACCTACACCTATAGTGACCTTCCATGTTATTTTCATACTTTTTCGCTGGCGGCTGGATTAACAATATAGGTGGCGCTAACGATGACTCCAGCAGTCAGCAGCCATGTGTCTTGTTTGACCGACGTCAGAAGAATCCTGCACGAGCAACACGCAAAATTATCATGACAACTCACCTATTTCCACTTAGCTCATCTGTCCCAAATACCACGTTATCTATTATGACTTAGCTCACCTATCCAGGGCCGTACGCTGAGCAAATTCCTATGGGGGGGGGCAAAATTTCATGACTCAATTGTGGAATGATGAGCGACGGGCGCAGATCTTGATCGACGTCCATAGTGTGGTAGGGGTGGTGGGTCTGAGAGACAAGGCTTACGCGGATAAGTAACCAAAAAAATCCGGTTAGGGTTATTTACGATTATTAGCTAAGCTTATTTTTTTTAATTTTGCTCCAAAATCTAGGGGTAGGGGGGCAGCAGGGGCAGTTGCCCCCCTAGAGATTTTCAGAGTATGCCTTTTAATGGGACAAATACTGTACACTTTTAGAAATAAAATAGAAATGTGACAAAAGGTTATCTTAAATCATCAAAGAAATATTACACTTTAAATATAGAAATGGGAAATTGCGAAACGTTAGGGCACAGGGTGCATGGGAAGTACCTTTGCCCCCCTACAGAAAATTTCCTGCGTACGGCCTTGTATGACGTAAGGCACTAGGCAGTAATCTATACCTTTTTGTATTTCAGTGGTGCACAAGCACAAGTACGTGTTTTCTGAAAATGGATTAGTAGCTCATAAGAATGGAGAGCTCATTCATAAACAGGTATGTTTTTTTTATTTTTATAATGTACTTTATTTCCAAAAATGCACACAGATACATGTATAGAATATGCTACACAACAACAGATAGTATTGTGATGGTAATCACATTACAGATAATACGAACATGATTATTGCTTTAATACTTATATGAGATGGTTTACATATAGCGTACATTTCCAACACTGGTAAATGTCGTAAACAGGTATGTTAGCCTTAGTGCATCACTGTTCTCATTGAGTGCATTTCTTATAACAAGCTGCATAGCTCAAGCATGATAGATGACTCATGTGTAGTAGTTCCAGCCACGTCTGTGAATAGATGCTCAAGTCCTTTTCAGCTCAGAAATTTTGCAACCGGAGAATATAATATATGCTTAAATTTCCTTGACTTTATTGCCATGCAGAAAACTTTGTTATGCCAAATTCAAACTCGGAGTTTTGTTCAGTGCTTGAAATGCTTCATGGTTATATTTACTAGTTTAAGCGAAATTGTGAGTCTGTATATTACATTCGTCGTTATAGTTATATAAATCATTAATAGGCAATGGGTGTCTTGCATAGAGCATACAGAATGAAGTGGGAGAGGAAAAATTGCAGCGATTCATTAACTTCTCTCTACGATACATGGCGGACCTGACATTGCCCGTGAAAAGGTACGCTCATGCTTCCGAGCATTACCGATACATTCCACATTGAAATGTAAAACCTCGCATACATATTAGAGTATAATGTATTACGCATATATACCGTGTACATATGCACAGTATATGATTATGACATGGTAGTATTTGCACAGGGGTACCTTCATAGAATTCAGGAGTGGTCTAATCAATGTATGTCCAGTGGGAAGGAGCTGCTCACAAGCTGAGAGAGAGGAATTCAACGCATACGACCAGGTAATTTTTTACATAGTCCATAAAATGTGATAATACCTGGGAGGTGACACCATACTGCAAAAATGTGATCTAAAAGGTTTCTTTGGTTGGGCTCATATGTTTTATTGTGAAAATGGGAAAATTATACTTGTAGCCTGGTATAATTGTCATGTTATGAAATTGTACTTTCCCAGACATTGAAATATAGTTGTAAATAATTCACGCTGTCGCTGACTGGCTCTCTCACCCTGTCCTGAGCTGCTGCTCTCATCCTGTCCTGTGCGCCTTACTCCTCTCACCTAGTCCCATGACTGCTCTCCTCATACCTGTCTGATCGAGACACTGCTCTCATCACCGTGTCGCTGACTGCGCTCTCTCCCATCCGGGAGTTACCTGGGACTGCTCTCATCACGCTGTACCTCGCCAAGCTCTTCTCACCCTCGTCTCATGATCCTGCTCTCTTACGTCCGTGACCTACGTCTCATTGTGCTCTGCCCTACTCTGCTCACCTGTCCTTGAGCTGCCGTTGCTCTCACCTTGTCCCTGGCAATCAGCTCTCTTCACCTGTCCTGAGGCCAACTCGTCTTCACCTGTTCCTGCCTACTGCTCTCCACCTGTCTGACTGCTGTCGGTCCACCGCTGTCTGCAACTCTCTGCACCTGTTCTCTGTAGTTGGCGTCTCCTTCCTGTAGCCTTGAGTCTCCTGCCCCACTCATTCTCATCTATTCCTGCTACCACTCTCTGTCCCTGTCCTGAACTGCCTCTCTCCCACGCTGTACCTGATCGCTCTCTGCATCTATGCCTGCTGACTCTGCATCACTCGTCCTGACTGCTCCCTCTCACCCTGTCCTGAACTGCTCTGCTCATGCCTGTCCTGACTGCTCGTCTCACCTGCCTCCCTGACTGACTCTCTCATCGCTGTGCCTTGAGCTTGCCTCCCTCACCGTGTCTGACTACCTCTCACCTGGTCACTGACTTGCGTCTCGTCATCCTGGTCCCCGCG